AGATAGTGTCTGAGACAGGATTTGAACCCAGGTCTTCTTGACTCCAGTGCTCTAGCTAATATATCTCTTAACCCTAACCCTACCCTTCAAATGTGCCTAAGAAAGAGGACATGTTTAATGACTGTAGAGGACAGTGGTTATCCTTCAGATAAGGAAACTGAGGCCAAGTGAGGTTAAGCGACTTGCGTAAAGTCATACAACTAATAAATGGGAAAGTTAGAATTTGAACTCAGGTCCTTTGATTTCTCATTCAGTGTTCTTTCTACCCCACTGCACTGACTCATTAAAGAAATGTATCCTTGTGACCCTAGACACATGGTCATAATTTAAACTTTCTGAGCCTCAGTTTTCTCATCTGTAAAATGAAGGTGATGACAACACAGGGGTATTGACCTTAGAGGGTTCATGAAAATGATATATGTAAATAAAGCCCTGTACCAACTTTAAATTATGAGGTAAAGGCAAGCTGTTCTGAACAATCTGATAACATAATGCCCACATTGATGCCTCGCACAAAGTGGACTTGGCATAAAAGCTTGTGGGTGAGAACACCCCACAGCCTCAGCACACTCTCTCTATCACCCTTTGGATGGTTCATTGGGAATGGGGTATTCCATGTCTGACGGCCCTAGGGCACCATTGGAAGAATACTGGGGTCTCAAAGATGTGTTTTTGTGTCTGGAGTGTGCTTGGGGCAAAGAGGAACAAGGGCCCTTTGTGTCCAGAGCTTTGGGGTTCCTGCCCTCTCTGGGGAACTGAGGAAGTTTCTGAAAAACTGAGGGAAGATATAGGTTATACATGTGCAATCATGCAAAACATTTTGTGCAAGAAAACTCAAAAGAGAAAGAAATGAATGAAGGAAAGAAGAAAGATAGTATGCTTCAGTCTGTATTCAGCTGATACCAGTTTTTTCTCTGGAAGCACATGGCATTTTTCATCATGAGTCCTTTGAGATTGTCTTGAATTGCTATGAATAACTAAGTCATTCAAAGTTCATCATACAATATTTTGTTACTGTGTACAGTGTTCTTCTGGTTCTGCACACTTCACTTTGCATCAGTTCATGTAAGTCCAGGTTTTTCTTAAATCATACTGTTTGTCATTTCTTATAGCACAATGGTATCCATTACAATCCTATACCACAACTTTATCAGCCATTCCCCAATTGATGACCATCCCCTCAATTTCTAATTATTTGCTCCTACAAAAAAAGCTTCTTCAAATATTTTTGTACAAGTAGGTTCTTTTTTCTTTTTTGATCTCTTTGGGATACAGACCTAGTGGTGGTATTGCAGGATCAAAGGGTAGGCATAACTTTATAGCCCTTTGGGCATAGTTCCAAATTGCTCTCCAGAATGCCTGGATAAGTTCACAACTCCACCAACAGTGTGTTAGTGTCCCAGTTTTCCCACATCTCCGCCAGCATTTAGCAATTTCCTTCTGTCACAGTCACCAAAGTGATGGGTGTGGTCACTTCCTATTTCTACTCTTTATGTATCATCTATACATAGATGGCTGTTTGTGTGTGGAGTCTCCCAATAAGTCTGGGCTCTTTTTGCCTTTCTTGGTATCCTTATTGATTAGCTCTATGTACATATATGGAAAGTGCTCAGTGAATGTTTGCTGAGTGATAAATATTTATATAGCATTTTCAGATTTCCCAGGGCTAGATATCTAACATCTCGTTGGGTACTGACCACAATCCTGGAGTGTGGAGACCATTATCATCCCCATTTTAGAGCTGACTCCAAGGCCATCCCTTCAACCCACTCATGTTGAATGACTTATCCGAGGTCACACAGGCAACAGGTGGCAGAAGGATTCTCTGAATCTGAGTCCTTTGACTCTAGTCAGCTTTCTTCTCACTGAATCCTGCCAACTCCTTAGTAATGGTGTGCTTTGAGGTCCAAGTGTTTAAAGGGCCTCTCTCTCAGCTTGTTCTGTTTAGCCCCCAAGAGCAGAATAAGGAGCAATGTCTGTGGGTGGGAGCAGGGGCTGGGGGTAGCTGCAAAGAGGCACCAGTTTAAGCTCAATGTTAGGAAACATTTCCTAATGATTAAGGTTGTCCTAAGTGGGATGGGCTGATGACCACTTGTCAGGTACATTATGGTGGGTATCCCTTCACATATGGCTTGGGCTAGATGGCTGCTCTCCAATTCTGGCTCTTTGTGATTTAAATGGTGCTTCCTTAAGATATGCAAAGAGCATGTGTATCTATATTGATATCTAGTCTATATCTGTATAATCTGCTTCTAATCCTGCTTCTAACTCTATAACTCTCTTTTTCTGTCTTTCTCCATCCATCCATCCATCCATCCATCCCTCCATCCATCCATCCATCCATTCATCCAGTCTCACTTGATCCTCACAAAAAGTTTGTGATTACTCTTATTTCAGAGATGGGGAAACTGAGGATCAAAGAAGTTAAATGAACCTGTATTCCTGGACGTCATGCTTCTTTCCATTAGAAATATCCATTATGAATAAAATGAACATCTTGTTTCTCTATCTTCATATCAAAAGTATCACCATCTAAATGTTCCGTTAATGAAGTTAAGCAATGTTCTGCTCTTGTTTCTTCTAGTCTAGGTTCTGTTTGTGTGCTAGGTTGGCTTGGCCTGTGTTTGGGTGGTCTGTTTCTCCCTTCATTTCTGCTGTTTGTTCTTTAAATTGTGTGTTTTTAGAAGGAACTTGAGAAGGGTTTCTCTTTTCTGCATTGATTTGTTTCTGAAGCTGCTTAGTTTACCTCATGTGCATCTGCTTCTTTTTCCAAATCTGAGCTTCACCCATTTCTCACTGATTAGACTTTTCCCCTTTCTTTCACATGGATGGCAAGGCTACCCAGGCACTTTTTGTTTCTTCAGGTCAATCTCTTTGCTCATGACAGTGGACATGAAATGACCATTGGGACCAGATCTTTTCATTGCTTACTAATGGCAGCATCCTAAAAGTCTAGTGTGCTGGGTAAAGTCCAACAAATGCTGAAAAAATTATCGTGTTTGGGCTAAAGTCATAGAAATGCATTGTATTCCTTACCTAGAAGCTCATTCTCATATTAAGGGTGAAGGGTGAGAGAGAATGAGAGGGAAAGTGTCACGAATAGGTCGGCATCATTTAAATTAACAAACATTTATTTGTCAAAAAGATGGTGCTAGAACATAAGGCTGCCCACACACCCTTCTGTTTCTGCTTTGAATTCAGGAGGTGCTCTATTGGACTTGTTCTGCTCTGGAGTCTCAGTGAAGAAAGTGACTGGTCATAAGGTCTGGTATCCCACAACTCATGCTTTTAAAATATACCTGCTCATGCTGCTTCATGTTCTTATAAATTATCTCTCTCTTGTACTTAGGAAATTTAAAGAATGAACTGTAGAATCAGGGGACCTAGGTTCAGATTCTGCCTCTGATATATGGATACATATACACATATGTATACATGCACATTCACACATGTACACACACATATGTGTGTGTATATATATATATATATACATATGTGCACATCTACATTTTATACACACATATAAATTTCTTGAGAGTAGAGATTATTTCATTCTTTGATATGTCCCCCAGTACTTAGCACAATGCCTAGTATATAGTAGGTGCTTAATAAATTCTTGTTGATTGTTTACTGTATGACCCTGGGTAAGTCACTTAAACTCTTAGTGCCCCAAGTGACATTTTAAGACCCTTCGACGGAGTTCACAAAGTCAAAACTATTTTCATAATTATACTAAGACATCTTAATCTCTAATACAACAAATATGAACAGATATAACCCACATAAACAAAAGTTCTTTGGGAAGTCTTCAATATTTTTAAAGAGTGTATAGGGTCCTGAGACCAGCAGCTTTGAGAATGGCTGCTCTAAGGCTCAGGATTACAGGTGACTCACTGTTTTACATCAACGGAGAGAGTTTCTATCTGCAGATTTCCCTACATGGATGAACTCATTCCTGGACCACAATCATAACACATGTGTGTATATAACACCTCAGAGAGAGCAGATGGAAAGCTGGCTCCCAGGTCAGAAGACCTGGGTTCAAGTCCCCACTTTGACACATGTCTGTATAATCTCAAAACCCACCCACCAACCCACCCAAAGTCTCTAAGACTTATAAATTGCAGATTTTCCTTGAGAAAGGCAGTTCTTCACTTGGCTTCCTGGGCCAAGGAAATCGTAGGTCACATACACATACATGTATACATAGATAATTATATATATATATGTGTGTGTGTGTGTGTGTGTGTGTAAATACAGATACACAAACATATACACATGTATATATGCACATGGAGAACTTGATGGCTTATAAAGCATTTTCTCATAACAACCCTGAGAGGTAATTAGTGTGCTATTTTTTCTGTCTTCAAGATGAGGAAACAGACTTTGAGAGGCTGAAGATTTTTACTAAGGTCAGACAACTAGTGAGAGTCAGAGTCAGGACTTGAACTGAGATCCCTTCTGCCTCCAAGTGCAGAGTACCTGCCTCTCACTTACCTCCCATCCAGAGACAATGGGCTCTAAGCTGCTGCTGGCACGTGGCACCCCAGCTCCCATCCCTCTGCCTTTTCCTAACAGTTGTCCTTGCCTGGAATAAATCTTCTTCCTCCCCTCTGCCTCCTGCCTTCCCTGTCTTCCTTTAGATTCCAGCTCAAATCCCATCTTCTACAAGTTTTTCCTGATCTCCTTCAATGCTGATGCCTTCCCTCAGAGATCACCTCCAATTTCATCTTTTGTTGTACTGAGTTGTTTGTATGTTGTTTCCCCTGTTAGAACATGAGCTCCTTGAGGGCAGGGACTGTCTTATGCCTCTCTATGTATCCTCAGCACTTAGCCTAGAGCCTGGTACACAGCAGGCACTTAATGAATACTTGCTGATTTGCCTTTTTATGTCCACATGCCTTGAGGAGCCCAACATTCCACTGGGTTCACAAAAATCTGCAGTCCAGACTTCACTTTTCCTCCCGCCCTCATGTCCAAGGTCTCTTCTCTCCTAGGTGACCATGGCCAGCACTGGAATCAATGGAGGAGAGTCACTGGAAACCTGTGAGAGGGTCCTCTTTGCTCTCCGCATGGCCACGTGGAATCAGATTTTGGATCCCTGGGTGTACATCTTGCTGAGGAGAGCTGTCCTCAAGAACCTCTACAAGGTCGCCCAGCAGTGCTGTGGAGCTCGAGCCATCATCAGCTTTCATGCCTGGGAGCTCAGCTCCATTAAGAATTCCTTAAAGGTTGCAGCTATTTCAGAGAGCCCCTCTACTGAGAAAACAAGCTCACAGCCACCCACCCTCATGGGGCAATGAGCCCATGGAGGTGCAGTAAAGATGAGAAGAGGCTGAGGCCATTATCCTGTTCATCCGATAATTACAGCCTGCAGGTTTGAGGGCTGGGGCTGTCATAGCTGACATGGTTGTATATAGTCATTGAATTAACTGGATAATTGCAAATCTTTGCTTTGCTTTGTGTAGACACAGCCTCAAGGCAAAGTGTGTGATGAAATGACATGAGGGCCATAGACTGAGGTCAACTTTGTGGTTGACTGTGTTGGTGACTAGGTGCATTCTCCAAGGTTGACCCAGGAGCCCACAAATGAGCACTTAGATACCCTATCTAGAGCTGAGCTGGAGGGGGGCTCAGATACCATCATTATACAGATAAGGGAACCGGGGCCAAGGGAGCCTATTGACTTACCTAGGACCACATGGAACAAAATGTGAAAGGTGGCCTGGGGAATCCACATGGCTCCATCTGGCTGGCTGGTCCCCAGCTCTGTCAGGAGGCCCATGAGGCACACTTGGTGGGTTGATGTTGCTGCATGTTTCTGGTCTGGTCTGATCTCTCAGTGATTGTGGAGGCCATCCTAGGCCAAGTCACAGAATTATAGAATTTCAGAGTGGGAAGGGGCCATCTTGTATGACCCAAACCTGAAAAGAATCCCCATTACAGGTTAGCTGGCAAGAGATCCTTAGTCTGGAGACCTCTGGGCAGTCCAAGGTACTTCTGCCCCAGCCCATTAATTTCCTATTCTGAGGTACGTTTAGGATACATGAACATTGTGTGTGTGTGTATGTGTGTAGTCAGTCTATACATTTCTTAACAGTCAGTGTACAAAACCTCAGATTGGGCTTATGGAGATTATCAACCTAAGAAGTAGGCACCAAAGCTGTATCCAATTGAAATCTATTCTGTAGGACTTTATCGAGGACGTACTATGTGCCAGATACTGTGCTGGGAAGTGAGGATAGACACCAAACTAGAACAGTCCCTGCCTTCAAGGTGGTAGGTGAGGGGATGGGCATGGACATAACATGTATACAGGTGACTGAACCCAAAAGGTCCACAAAGTCTTTATGGGTAGCATGAACAATGGGGTGCATTGGGAAATTTTGCGTATCTTGTAGGAGGTAGCCTTTATTCTGAGCCCTCACCAATTTAGATTTCTTTGGCAAGGCCTCTATACCACCAGAGCTGGTTGGTTGCAGCCCTCCAAGGCCACCACCTAAATGTGATCTGTATCAGTGGATGGACTACTCACATGGAGGATATCACAGTTCCTGGAAATGGTCAAGTCAGGAAATGAGAGTTGGTGGGCTTTCACTAGGGGAATCACCAAAGAGGAGCTTTTCACCTGAATGATGTCGGGGGCATCAGTCTTATCCAGGGAAGCTAAAATTGAAGGAGCAGCCCCATTAATGGTCACCCTTCAGAATTTCCATCCTGTCCATGCAGGGCTCAGCAATGTAATTGAGTAATAATTAATTTCATTGAAAGCATAGGGAAATGTGGGACCTCAGAGCGTGCCATGATTAACTTCCTCATTTTACAGATGAGGAACTCAGGGCCGGAGAGGTTCAATGACTGACTGTATTAAGTAGCAAAGCAAAGCTTCAGAAGAGTTCCATGAGTCCCAAGCTAGATTTTCCCACCTTCCCAACATTGTCTAGTGGAGTCATGTTGAGTTCCCTTAGAAGCATCACCTGAGTGAACATCAGAGCTGCTGATAGTTCCTTTCTCTCTGTGGAAGGTGGTGATATCTAGGTGGTTGTGTTTAAGAAGACCAGATGATAAGGATTTGATCCCAGTTGTACTAAGGGAGTGACCTAGAAATCTGAGCTTCTGGGGCCCATAAATTGTCCAAGCAATTTCTCAGCTGTGAGGCATTTTCAGTGTTGGATCTTGTGCTTGTCTTAGGATAAAGACCTTATGCAGATTTCCACGACTCACCTGAGCCCCCCACATATTCAGTTTCAAAATCTGATGGCAAGTGCAGCCCACGTTGACCCCACTGTCTGCTTTGCTGTTTTCTGTTCCCATTAGAATATAAGCCGCTGAAGGGCAGGGACTGCCTTATTTGCCCACATTTAATCCCTAGTGTTCAATACATGGTAAATGCTTAATCAATGTTTGATCATTTCATTCATTCATTCATTTGGAGAGACAGTTGGATGGAAGCAAACCTGAAATATGAGCTTGCTTACAGGTAGAAAGTTACATCTTCTCATAGTCAGTGCAAATATGCCAAATGGAACATGCCTAAAGCTTATGTTACCTCTCCATGCAATGTAGTAAGCAGTCTTGCCTGGTGCCTGTATTTCCAAGTGTGTGGCTATTAGAACTCCCAGGGAGGGTCTGCTTTTGGTACGAACAGAGTTGTTTTTGGTAAAATCTGTCAATGACTTTCTCTGCCACATCATTGCTGCTTCCCCTTAGGGAACTGGATGGGAAGGATGTAAATATTCTACATATCATTGCTTAATCCATTATTTGGGTGTCACAGTCCAAGGTAACAGCTGCCAAGTAATGTGGGACACTTCCAAGTGACCATCTGTTTACTCTGCCATTGTAATGGTGTGCTAAATGCATGCACTGCCTTGGACTTTATGAAGTGAATTATCATGTGTTCTCTGTCCTGGCTGACATGTAGAAAAGGTTCCACAGTGATGTGTATATTTGGTTGCTTGTAGTCTATGTACCAGTATAGTAATGAATGTAATGCTTCATTAAATGTAAAAATTTAAATAAAATGTTTGTTTCACAAGTTGAGCATACCAGCATTTTCAAAGTAGGGACTGGCACTTTTGGAAAGCCAGAGGGGAAGGTCCAGGGGTCATTGGAGGGGAACTGGGACTCACTATTAACCTCTGGACACATTGTGATTGGGTGACCTTGGTTCATGGAGAAAGTGCTGACTTGCATCCACCATCCAGGAGTTCTCCTTCTTAGAGAAATCACAGGTCCAGTCCCAAGCCTTCCTCTTATCATCATCATCACCATCATCATCATCCCATTATGATATGTCAGACTCTATGCAAGCCTAAAGATCTGGGTTACAAAGAACACTGTGGATCAAAATGGGAAATTTAAGGAGACTCCAACATATAGCCTCGAAGGCATTTTCATTCTCTAGGAGCTCCTCAGGGAACATTTGGCCTCTTCTGGCTGCACCCTTTCCTCCATTCCCTCTTGGTGGTGGTGGTGGTGATGGATATGAGTGTTCAGTACCTTGCTTGGTGGTCTGGTCCGGACCATGGTGGCTTAGCCTCTGGTTATACACTGGTTAGAATTGGCAAGTATTTCACCATCTGTAAAATGAAATGGTTGGGTTAGATGCTCTCTAAATTCCTTCTAGCCTTAAACTCAGTAGGATCCTAGGAACCTACCCTTAAAGTGTGGGGTCATTCCTGAGGACTAGAATGTAAACAGGAAGATACACAAAGGCAATGAACTTTGGCTAAGATTACATGTTGGCAACAGCATGCGGTGAAATGGGCTGCTCAAAGAGGTGCTCTGAAAGGGGCTGAAGGTAATCATGGACTTCTGGCTGAATTAGCCTTCAGGCATGCTCAGTAGCCATGAAGCAATATTGGGCTAGAAAATTAAGGTGAGGTCACAGGATCTCACATTCACCTCAAAAGAGCTCAGCACAAGGTGAGAGAGAATCCTATGTGTTTATTGCTGTTGCATTTTGATCTGGTCATTTAAGTCACTGGGAGAATGAAAATGGCAGTACCCTTGGTTCTTTAAGCTGAATGAAGGCAGGATCATTTAATATCTCAGGGAAAATTTTCATTTCCATTGAGAAGAAATGAATTTTGGCTGTTCAGTTCCAACCTTCACCAGCTCAAGGGATCAGGGACCAATCTGGCTCACCAGCCATCCATTTTCACTGTAACACCAATGTTGTAAGGACTGGGTTATCATTGGAAGGAATACTGGAGGTCGTCTCAATTCTTCTAGAGATTCCAGTTGTTGGACCTATGATGGTTCTTTCTACCTTTTGACATTCACCAGGTCATGACCTGGTCCACTCTGTCTCCCATATTGTCATCTAAGATCAAAGATAAATAAACAAAACAGAGACAGAAACAATGGTGCCATGTGTGTTTATGGCCACATGGCAGCCCAGTTGTAAAGAGAAGCGGTAGCCTGTGATGCCTCTGCTACTGCATTTCTCTACACCTGAAAGTTTCTGGCATTTCTTCTTCTTCCCCTTGAAAGTCACCAAAGAAGAGTGTTATTTTGCCTGATTATGCCTTTTGTATCACATGCTCAGTGACAGTTCAGCAACCAGTTAAAAGCTGATGGGAAGCTGCCATAGGTCATACATGCATGCTTGAAATTGGGAGGAAAAGGCCCCCAATCAGTGCACCATCCAGCAGTAGGCTCACCAGTTATTCATTTTCATTGGTATCAGGTGTACATTGGCATGTTCTAAGGACTGGTTTTCACTGGCAAGTCCCCTCCATTGGATGGAGAAGCAAATGTAAAATGGTGCAAAATAATCTCAAAAGGTCAAGAATGCCTTGGAGGCTTCAGGAAAAGGCTCATGGAGAAATTCACACCTGATGAGAGGGATCTGCCCAATTTTGCCAATGGTAATCTCATTCTTTTTCCAACTGTTTGTGCACTGTCCTGTATAAAGCCCAGTCATTCCATGTTGCTTCTAGGGTTAAATACAAACTCCTCTATTTAGCATTTAAAGACTTTCACAACCTAGCTTCAACTTATGTTGCCAGCCTTAGAGGCAGGTAGATGGTGCAGTGTATGGAGCACTGGGCCTGAAATAAGGAAAACCTGAGTTCAAACCCAGCCTTGGTCACTTGCTAGCTATGTGACAAATCACTTAACTTCTGTCTTCCTGAATTTCCTCAACTGTAAAATGAGGAGAACAATACATCTATCTCTCAGGGTTGTTGTGTGGATTGAATCAGACAGGGAGCATCACAATGTACAATAAACAAGAAAAAAGAGTAATGTGTGAAAAGATATGGCATTTGATTAAAATTTAACCCCAAATTATTTAAACAAACTATTAAAAGTAAAAATTGGAAATGGAAAACAGAAATGCCATCAAAGTTGACTACAATAATTTCATCCAAAAGCTAACCAATGTAAAAAAGCTGCTACAAGGAGATTAAAGAAGTCAGCAGACTTTTTACTTACATGCTAAACAGAGAGAGAGATGGATGCTAAAGGCAATACTGGGTTATAATATAAACATTTCTATAAAATCTCATGAAGAAGGATGATAGATGATTATGAGCAACTTAATCTCATAGAGCAGAAAAGGGTATTAGGAGGTAAAACCAGTCTTTAAAAAGTTTGACAAAATAGTCAAATAATTATTCCAAAGGCGTTCAGGAATGAAAATGGAAAGAGGAGTAGAAAAAGGAGAAAAATAGAAAAGAATTGTTCAAAAGAATTACACAAACTATTTTCTCCCATCAAGGAGAGTGGATGTACCATAATTGGACCCTCATATACGAGTCTCTGAGATGCTTTTAGAGGAAGTAAAAATGGCATTTAAGAAAGCAAAGGCAGGAAGAGCAGCTAGTGCAGGGACAGAGGGCAAAAAAAAAACCATTGGTGCTGAAGGACCAGTTTACAAGGTATCAGGGTGAGGGTTAGGGTTAGGAATGGAAAAAATCCTGGACCTTATTGATTCTAAAAATGGCTCTCTCTACTGAATATGTTGGAATGTTATCTATCTATGCGTTGGGGCATTTTTGATGACAGTATTAGGAGGGCTGAAATTTTTTTGCAAATGATATTCTGGACCACCTTTTTACTATTTTATAATTGACAGAAAGAAGCCTAAAATGTAAGATTTCACTGCACGTATTGTATATTGAGTAAGAAAAAGAAAAGCATTTGACACTGCCTTGCAGGTTATTTTCCAATAAGGTTTGTCCCATTCATATATCAAGATTATTAAAGATTCCTTGGAAGTTGTTACATTAGAAGTAACTCTATTCAATGACCCTCTGAGAATAAACATTGGTTGAGCCATAAAATAAGGAGATGCATATAATGATATGTATAGATACATATATTTGTATACATACATACATACATATATAAGTACATATACATATATACATACATGTATATATACATATTATGTACAACTACATAGACATAGTTATATACAGACTGAGAGATAGATGATTGATAGAGATACGGTGTTCAAAATATCTTAGTCTTTTTGAAACACCTTGCATTTCTATATGTGCACATACAATTTCATATACATATATGTATATATATCTACACACATCTGCTAATCACCTCTTTGTCAGGAAGCAAGTAGTGTGTTTCATCATGAGTTTTCTGGAAGCCTGGTTGGGAACTGTATTCATTAGAATTTTTAAGTCTTTCAAAGCTGTTGTCTTTACACTGTTGTTGATATTGTAGAAACCATCCTCCTGGTCCTGCTCACTTCACTCTGCATCAGCTCATACAAAGATACCCATCATTCCACCTTATTGACAAAGAGATCAGGGTCTTCCAATTACTTTCTTTGCACAACTGTCCAAATCTCACCTGAAAGCTATGTTTCTTCATATGTATATTTTAGCAGTGTTTATTAAAACACAGTTCTTTTGTCTATTAGTATTGGGTATCAAAATGTTTATTCATAACTAGAAATATCTTACATCTTTTGATAACATAAATCTCTTCACACAAAAGCTTTTCCCCTCATCCTTTTCATTATTAAATTTAGTATGCCTCAGATGGATATAGAAGAATGGAGTTGGACTAGATGATTTCAAGGGCTCTTTCAGAGACAAGTCTATGATCCCATGATCTTTCTGTCTTTGATCTCCTTGTAACTGACCTAGGAACCAGGAAGACCGTGTTTGCCACAGGGGAGCTGTGTGGTCATGACCAGGCACTTAACATCTCAGAATGGCAGCTCTCTCACTGTTCTCTAAGGCTGTAAGAAACAGGCAAGTGACTGATCGGGATAAGGGAAGGGAGTTTCCATCCTGAGGGTTTGCTGTCAGACTGAAATTACAGGTCTGGACAAAATGGTGAGTGGGAAGGAACAAGCATTTATGAAGTGCCTACTGTGTGTCAAGCACTGTGCTAAGTGACTTACAAATATTATCTCTTTTGATCTTTACAGCAACCCTGTGAGGTAAATGCTCTTACGCTGCCAATTTTAAAGTTGAAGGCAAATGGAGCTTAAGTGATTTTGCCAGGGTCACACAGCTGCTAAGTGTCCAAGGTCAGAGTTAAACTCAGAGCTTCGACTCCAGGCGTAGCACTAGTGCCACCTAGTGGCCAATAAGACTCACACAAAAGAGACATACACTTGTGTAACGATGGAAAGCAAAATATTCAGGAAAGATGTTGGAGTGATTTGGATATAATGTTTGCTGTTGCAGAATAAGGTAATGTCTACACCCCCAGATTGGTTCCGTTGTTTTAACTGCTTTGGTTGGTCAAGCTGATAATGATTCTAGTCCTCAGCCAAAGGATCTATGGATGGAGGCCCAGCCTCCAACTCCTTCCCTTTGGGAGGCAGAAAGATGCACAGAATCGTTTGGAGTTCATGGGGACAAGTATGGGTGTGCTGCAACTCCAGCCTAGATTTTTTTTAGAGGAATTCCAGAACCTCTTGACCCACGAGACATTTTCCTTCCTGGAAGGAGGGAAGCCTAAAAGGCTCCAACTTTTATCATCTTTGATATTGTAAATCAATATGTAATCAGGCATTGGCTTTCCAGGGCCACTG